GCAATAGGTAAGGGGTTATTAAAATGAGCCCTGAAACTTTCAGGATGTAGCCCCGTTAGCCTTGAATGATGAATGAAACATCTATCCTCTAACTATCGGCTGGTTTTCTGAATTCCATGCCTGAACATTGCAGTGTTGTTTAGCAGTCAGTGTTCATACCTGTTGCTGATGGTGTTAAATTTGATATTGACATCTTACATCAAATGAAATCAGCAGAGCACAGAGTTTAGCTATTTACCTTGACAGCAGTCTTATCCAATGACCATTACTTTATTTATACATGATTGGTAAGGATTTATAGAGGGAATAATAACTGAATCGCAGCAATCTGAACACTACAAAAATAGATACAATTTATGGAAGTGATTAGAACAGGGGCCGTACTAGCCCAGGTGGTTAATATATATAGAGCATTGGCAATCTTAAATTCAGGTGCAGATCTGCATGGTTTGATGCTCCCCAAACGTGGTAGTTTGTATTTATGGGAAAACTGAGAAACAGATTAATCTGTGCTGCTGTTGTTGTATCTTCAGATGTGACACTTTACCCTTATTGCTCTGGACATTAGTTAGTTGATATACTGTATCAATTATTGATCCGTTGTAAATATCAGTTAGTTGGTGCAAAGTTACTTTAGTGTTTAATGCTATCACAACAGCAAAAGTCATTAAAGGCATTAATTCACGGGCTTTTAGGCCATTCTAGACCACTTTTGTAGTGCCAACACACTGAAATGACATAAACATTGAAGCATTACAACTCGCCCAATCACATTATATTGACAAGCTAATCATTTCATACTGCATTTTTTTTTAAGTTGAATACCGAGAATAAGATGTTCTAATATTATATAATATGTTAGGCCTTGATTTGTCTCATTCTGGGGGCAGAACCTACAACCTTCGCAATTGGGCAGATGCTCAACCATTAGACTAAAAACAATTGTCAAGTGAAGCAATAGGATGGAAAAGAGTTGTTTTGGAAGAAAAGAAGAGAAAGGAAATTTAGTTTCCTCTTATGATCATCCAGTAGGAGACAATTTCGAGACCTTACTTACTGAGCTGAAATTTCGTACATATCGGCTTTGTGACAAATTCTGAAATGAATCAGTATGTAAATTATGATATATCACAACAATAACACTCTAATATAAATCAAATGAAATGTATCTCACTGGAGCTTTTCTTTTGTTTATGGTAGCAGACAATCTGTTACCTAACCTTGGCCTGTATACAGCATGACTAGTGGTATAAATTCAGGGGAAAAACACCTTCAACTCTTCAAGTACTTACAGAAGGAAGATGATTTAGATAATCAAGGGAGATAACTGAAGGGCGATCATCTAGGGAAGGGCATCTTTCAAGTGTTATGAAAATATTACTGCTTTAAATGTTAGAATACATCTTGATAATTCAGGGTTAGATAATTCAAGGGAGATAATTCAGGGGAGGGCATCTGCAAGTGTTATTAGGTTAGCAATATACACTATTTAAATTCAGCATGGTGTGTGATTGGCAATACATCAGGACATGCTGATCAGCTGCACAGTATCTTCTCAACTTCTCTCACCAGGATCTTCTGTGGTATACTGTACCTGATATAGAAAATGATTTCTAGAGTTGCAACATAATTGTTTAAATACCTTAATGATATTTTGTGTTGAGTTAAACACTCTCTGTCACCGATGGACTATGTCTGTGGATGTGAGATGATGGATAGATGTAGGGTTTTTATTTGAGTGTATTATAGATCACTTATGAAAATCTGTTACCACTTATATTTTATGTCCCAATAGACCATCCTTTTTTAGGTTATCAACATATCAAAAAAATGACAGTACCTTGCTATTTGTCCCACAGTCAGCAGTCCAAAACACTGTTTCATTGTTTATGGTCCTACTGTTCAGATAACCTATAGGCTTTCCGTTTCATATGGAATTATGCACATCCTCTGTGCCTTATTTGTTCAAATCTTTAAATTCTTCTGAAGTTCCACCAGTGATATTGAGCTGAATCTTGTCTGATCCTGCAATGGTTCTCACCAAGTGTAATGATCTTTTGGGTTGATCCAAATTCAATGTGGCTACTATGGCTGCCATCTTGAAAAAAAACACATTTTAAACTTCTTCTCCAGTTACTCTTGTGCCATTCAGCTGAAAGTTGATGAGGATAAACTACTACCACTACTACTACTAATACCACCACCATGGGCCTATTGTTTGTAGAGAACAAGTTCCACATCCTCCATCATCTTTCATCAAGTAATGCTATTCACAGTAATTTTAGTATGATAACATTCTGTACATGCATCTACATGTACAGATGTATGTGTACCCCTATATTTCATGTAACATAAAAAAGTCTCCATTCCCTAACCTGTTTGTCATCCCCTGTATTTCCTGGTATGGTAAGCACAAAGGTAATTATGGTATTATGGATTCTTCCATCCGATTACTAAGATTATAGAATAACTTTTAGCTAGATACCCTATATTGTGTAAATATCTTTCATTTTAATGATCTCGGAATCACGTAAATATTTTCTTCAAATGAAATGTACTGTGATAAAACATACCTAATAGGTAGACGAAGTGGACCAATTTACTCGTTTTTTTCTATTAACTGGATGACATTGTGTTTCTATTTTGCACACCTGTAGGGTAACCCTATAGTTTGTTATTATAAATTAGATCAAATATTTGCCAGGTGTTAGGTGTATTAAGTATGTGTATATTTCAGACCTGGTAACTTTATAAGTTAATTATTTTGTATAAGTAATCACTTGCACATCAGTTACATTGTACCTTAGAGAATCACCTGTTTATGTTGCATTGAACCTGTGGGCATTTTACCAAAACCTCTCTATCTTTGCCAAGAAGGAATTAAAGGTGATTTCAGTAGTTAATGGTAGGTTCACTTCAGTCAAGTATAAACATGGAGAAAAAACAACAACAATTAACAAAATAAAAATAAGGGAGGGGGGTGACCAGCAACAAACAAAACAAAAATAGGGAGGGGGTGGGGGAGGGGGACCAGCAACAAACAAAACAAAAATAGGGAGGGGGTGGGGGAGGGGGACCAGCAACAAACAAAACAAAATAGGGAGGGGGTGGGGGATGGGGACCAGCAACAAACAAAACAAAAATAGGGAGGGGGTGGGGGAGGGGGACCAGCAACAAACAAAACAAAAATAGGGAGGGGGTGGGGGAGGGGGACCAGCAACAAACAAAACAAAAAAAGAGAGCCCGTCGGGGATCCAGACCAACAAACAAAACAAAAATAGGGAGGGGGTAGGGGAGGGGGACCAGCAACAAACAAAACAAAAATAGGGAGGGGGTGGGGGAGGGGGACCAGCAACAAACAAACAACAAACAAAAAAAATAGGGAGGGGGTGGGGGAGGGGGACCAGCAACAAACAAAACAAAAATAGGGAGGGGGTGGGGGAGGGGGACCAGCAACAAACAAAACAAAAATAGGGAGGGGGTGGGGGAGGGGGACCAACAAAACAAACAAAACAAAAATAGGGAGGGGGTGGGGGAGGGGGACCAGCACCAAACAAAACAAAAATAGGGAGGGGGTGGGGGAGGGGGACCAGCAACAAACAAAACAAAAATAGGGAGGGGGTGGGGGAGGGGGACCAGCAACAAACAAAACAAAAATAGGGAGGGGGTGGGGGAGGGGGACCAGCAACAAACAAAACAAAAATAGGGAGGGGGTGGGGGAGGGGGACCAGCAACAAACAAAACAAAAATAGGGAGGGGGTGGGGGAGGGGGACCAGCAACAAACAAAACAAAAATAGGGAGGGGGTGGGGGAGGGGGACCAGCAACAAACAAAACAAAAATAGGGAGGGGGTAGGGGAGGGGGACCAGCAACAAACAAAACAAAAATAGGGAGGGGGTAGGGGAGGGGGACCAGCAACAAACAAAACAAAAATAGGGAGGGGGACCAGCAACAAACAAAACAAAAATAGGGAGGGGGTGGGGGAGGGGGACCAGCAACAAACAAAACAAAAATAGGGAGGGGGTGGGGGAGGGGGACCAGCAACAAACAAAACAAAAATAGGGAGGGGGTGGGGGAGGGGGACCAGCAACAAACAAAACAAAAATAGGGAGGGGGTGGGGGAGGGGGACCAGCAACAAACAAAACAAAAATAGGGAGGGGGTGGGGGAGGGGGACCAGCAACAAACAAAACAAAAATAGGGAGGGGGTAGGGGAGGGAGACCAGCAACAAACAAAACAAAAATAGGGAGGGGGTGGGGAGGGGGACCAGCAACAAACAAAACAAAAATAGGGAGGGTATACCAGCAACAAACAAAACAAAAATAGGGAGGGGGTCCAGGGGGACCAGCAACAAACAAAACAAAATAGGGAGGGGGTGGGGGAGGGGGACCAGCAACAAACAAAACAAAAATATCGAGGGGGAAGGGGAGGGGGAACAGCAACAAACAAAACAAAAATAGGGAGGGGGACCAGCAACAAACAAAACAAAAATAGGGAGGGGGACCAGCAACAAACAAAACAAAAATAGGGAGGGGGTAGGGGAGGGGGACCAGCAACAAACAAAACAAAAATAGGGAGGGGGTGGGGGAGGGGGACCAGCAACAAACAAAACAAAAATAGGGAGGGGATGGGGGAGAGGGACCAGCAACAAACAAAACAAAAATAGGGAGGGGGTGGGGGAGGGAGACCAGCAACAAACAAAACAAAAATAGGGAGGGGGTGGGGGAGGGGGACCAGCAACAAACAAAATAAAAAAGTAGGGGGTGGGGGAATTTTGTTATCAAAAGTGAAAATTTGGATACCCTGATTTTTTGCTGTAATGTGTATATTTTGCTGTGGAGAGATTTGTAACACTGGAGTATATCATGGGGTCCATCTGCTAGTGCTGATAGGATCCACAGTATGCAGTTTTTGTAATATGTTTTTCTCAATATTCACTGAACTTTTGTATATTGGATTTTTTGCTGTACTTTTCTTAATGTATGTTGAACTGTTTGCAGGGCCTTCTGTTTGATGCGAAGCTGTTTGTCTACATCACGAAGAAACCCAGGACTTGTACGCAGTATCAAGGTACGCTTATCAATGGACCGACAAATTGTAATGGTTAAATCATTATACCCTTAATACCCATATCCATAGCTGCTGATGGTGTGCATTCCCTCACTAAACACGCTGATTTGTAACGGTTTAGCTGTTAATACCCTCCATGTTGGCAGGGGTTAGGCAGGGCAGTATTGTAGGGCACGGTTTTAATCTCTCACCTGTTCAGCTACCTCAGCATTATCTACATTGATGTCAGAGTTTCTTTATGAATGCTTAAGGTTCACTGTATTTGATTCTGTGGGGTTATTGTTCATCTTTCTACACTTTGATTCAGTGGGGTTGTTGTTCATCATTCTACACTTTGATTCAGTGGGGTTGTTGTTCATCATTCTACACTTTGATTCAGTGGGGTTGTTGTTCATCATTCTACACTTTGATTCAGTGGGGTTGTTGTTCATCATTCTACACTTTGATTCAGTGGGGTTGTTGTTCATCATTCTACACTTTGATTCAGTGGGTTGTTGTTCATCATTCTACATTTTGATTCAGTGGGATTATTGTTCATCATTCTACATTTTGATTCAGTGAAGTTGTTCATCATTCTACACTTTGATTCAGTGGGGTTGTTGTTCATCATTCTACACTTTGATTCAGTGGGGTTATTGTTCATCATTCTACACTTTGATTCTGTGGGGTTGTTGATCATCATTCTACACTTTGATTCAGTGGGGTTGTTGTTCATCATTCTACACCTTGATTCTCTGGGGTTGTTGTTCATCATTCTACACTTTGATTCAGTGGGTTATTGTTCATCATTCTACATTTTGATTCAGTGAAGATGTTCATCATTCTACACTTTGATTCAGTGGGGTTGTTGTTCATCATTCTACACTTTGATTCAGTGGGGTTGTTGTTCATCATTCTACACTTTGATTCAGTGGGGTTATTGTTCATCATTCTACACTTTGATTCTGTGGGGTTGTTGATCATCATTCTACATTTTGATTCAGTGGGTTGTTGTTCATCATTCTACACTTTGATTCAGTGGGGTTGTTGTTCATCATTCTACATTTTGATTCAGTGGGTTGTTGTTCATCATTCTACACTTTGATTCAGTGGGGTTGTTGTTCATCATTCTACATTTTGATTCAGTGGGGTTATTGTTCATCATTCTACATTTTGATTCAGTGAAGTTGTTCATCATTCTACACTTTGATTCAGTGGGTTGTTGTTCATCATTCTACACTTTGATTCAGTGGGTTGTTGTTTTCACAAAATGTTAAACTAAATTTGGCCTGAAACATTATCAGGGAGTGGCAGTCATATTAAACATGCATAAAGTGAATTTGATATTTTCCTGACTAAAGCTTATTTTTTCGCTTTGGTCCAAAATCCAAGATAACTCATCTAGAACAAACAATCAGAACTAATTCTCAAGTTTCATTCACACCAATGTGACAAATATTTGAAGTTTGATTTTTTAAGGAAAAGAAAGATATGGTATGTTGCTGATTTTCAGCCTGAACAAAACTTCAACATGGTAACCACAGTAGCCATGTTGTAACATGATTGTGTAACTGTCTTTCCTGAATAGAACCTACCATTTATGAGTTTTCAAAGAATGTTCAAAATTTGAATTATCAGATTTGTCAGACGACCATCAGCATATTTTGTGGTTTGTCCATCCATTTGTGGATTGTCAGATGACCATTACAGGCCTCTTGTGGGTTTTTTTTTTTTAATATTTGGATGTTTATGATTTAAATCTTGGAATACCTCTTGGAATCATCTCTGACAAGTCCAAGGTCAATAGATGTGAATTTTACATTGAGAGGTTAAGATGAAAAGCCAGACAAGGTGAGTTAATGGATACTGTCCAGATGGTGTTCTATATCTGTTGATTAATGGCCCAAGATGCTACACCACTGAACTAGAAATGATCAGCTGTACCCATTCTCCTGCTCTCATTCTGATGTTCTACTGAGGGGGTCTCATCCTAATCTGGAATTTAATTATCTGTTAATCCAAGCCAGTGTTAGCTGATAAGGCTGACAGTTGATGCCATTTAAATTGGAAATACTTGGCTCATTTACTGTTGTACATAAGGTGATCTGTGGATACCTTTCATTCCCACAAATACTCTACGTGTTTCATTATTAAAATCTTGGTGCAGGTAGTAATAATGCTGTAAAGATAATTAATCCTTAGTTTCCGGTTAATATTCCTGTTACACTGGTTTGTTCATCCCTAGTGGAGCCTTGATAATCTGGAAACTTGTAGACACTTTTTATTATAACATTCGTCAATTTGACATCTCTTTAAGCTGCAGCATGTTTTTGTACAGAGAGCTAATCATTTCTGGGAAGGAAGATTGTTGGTCCATATCTTCTGTCAATATGTTTTGTTGACACTTTCAATTATTGTAGAGGTTTGATACAGCAGTATATGTTAAATATGCTAGGTATAAGAAATGCTGTATGTACTTTAGTGGGAGAGATATTTACATGTTATATTGTTGTAGTATTGGCAAATCTTCAAACATTTCGATTGGTTAAAACTTGATACAATTGAGAAACTGTAGTGGTCGTAAGGTCAAAGATCATGGAAGGTCATCAGAGCCTATAATCTGTCAGAAGGTAGAAGATGCAACACTGGAAATCACTTGTCTTGTCTATTGATTTGGGGAATATTTCCTTTGAAATCTTTTTTCATACGAGATTTCTAAGGATCACAATCGCCTTGTAAAATGCATCATATTTACAAGTGATGTTTCATGTATGATAAAAATCTCCCTGTACACATTGAATAGAAGTCCTGACAGAAACTGCTGCTGAATTAAACAGGTGCTTCTCTTCTTGTCTGTCACCTGTCTGTCCCTAATTACTTACATCAACACATGGTCAAATGTGGGGCGTTTCTTCTTAATCTTCTGTTCATTTTGATAAGCTACAATAGCAGAGTGACAGTCCGGGGATTCTTTGATGATCTAAGAGATAGCTGTCCATTGTTGAAATTCTTAGGCCACTCAAGTTAAGTGGTTGTGGGGTCCACCATAAGAGAGTTCTATCAGCAGTCAGACAGTAGTCCCAACAAATTCTCAGCACCACTGATGGGCATTTCCTGCGGAGCACCTGTTGGTTGTGAACTGGTGTCTCCGGTGTGATAATGACTATTCTTACTAAGACACAACTTATCGGCTCTTTTACAAAGCCACACCAAGTCTGAAACTGATTTAATACGAAGTAATTCAATGTCAACAGTGTGTCAATGGTCCCGTCAGCACCAGTCTATCAACAGCCATTAGCCAGAAATATGTTGCATGTTTACTCAATTCTCAATGTTTTGAAATTAAACTAGACATGTTATCATTACACAGAATCATCTTGCTTGTAAAAACTGAACACTGTGAGCTGCATGTAGTTTACTTTCAAACCAGAATATATACTTCCGAGTTTTAAACCTACAGTAAGGAATTCATAAGAACAGAATTTTGGTTGCCTCCCTTTCTTATGGTTTATTTTGGCTGGATCACCCAGTTGTTTGTATCTTTGAAGCTTTAACAATTAACACCATTGTTTTCTTGTATGTCCTCAGCCATGCAGCAGGATGAGGTCATCACATCCAAGGACAAGGTCACTGCCCGGTATCGCTATGGAGACGAGCCAGACATACAGGAAGTAGTCAATAATCTGGAAATAGAGGTAACTCTATCAAACCTTTTTGTAAAGTTTGTAGCTGAAGATGTTACAAATAATTAATCTCTGTCCATTGAACTTTTATATTTAATGATTCATTGTGACAGAGTGCCTTGATAAACAGACATTTTGTTGTTACAGAACATGTATCTGAAAGAAGCCCTGAAATCTTTGGATCAGTGTGTCTGCTACCCACAATGTATTGTAGATGGAGTTGTCTATGACGATGGAGACACATGGCAACAGAACTTCTGTACCATCTGTGTTTGTCAGGTAAGGTTGGAAGTGGGCTTCTTATTGAACCTATCAAGATGTTCACATTGTCTGAAAAATCTTAGTTAGCTAATTTGGTGATAGATTAAAAACACTTTCTTGCAGATTTATTGGTAGAATTTTTGGTAGAACCTAGCCACATTTCACTGATAACATCAAAAGGTCTTGTGGATTAAATTGATTGGAAAAAAAGGAAGTCGATACTGGAAAAGAAAGAGTCAGATTGGCAGATTTAAATTCTAAAGATACCTGTTCATAACTACTGAACGTATTTCAACAAAACTCTGCTAGTAAAGTTATGTATGCCCTGTGGGAGGGAACTCATGGGTTGGCACAAGAAACGTTTTTTTTTTTGAGGATTACTTCAGAGAAAAAGAATTGACATTAGAGATCAAGATACCAATTACATGAATTTATTTTAACTATCTTTGACCTGCAATAAATAATTTACATTATGTGTTTGTGATATTTTGTTCCAAGAACTGGTTTTTGAGGTGTCAAGGTTACAGAAATTAGTGGAATTTTCTCATCAAATATCCGTTAATATTAAAAGTCATGGACATGCCTTTAGTGGACAACTTTCTCTGATAAGTGTGCATATTGCTGGCAGATTTCCTATTTAAAGTAAAAAAAATGCATTTTACATATCATTTAGAGAAACAACTTATCAGGCAAATTACATACCAATGAAATATCCAGTCTCCACCCCTTGTTACCAATTAGATGTAATTATGTTGTCACTTTCTACTAACAGAGATCCCTTCTGTGTGTCGGTTTAATTCCTCCTGAGTAAATCAGTGGGAGATGAGAATCACTGTAAGGTAGAATTTCTGCTCTAGTTATTGTCAAGTGTTACCAACAACTTTGACAAGCACTTGAGAAATTATTTTAGTTTATAGAGGATTTGTGTCTGTTGTGGTAGTAATCACGACAATGTTTTCTCTCTAGCAGTTTCCCTACTGTAGTTAGGAAACACTTAAACACAGAGATTTTTTACTGGCTGAGGCATTTCTGGTTCAGTGACTGATGAGTGTCTTAAGTAGGTATGGAGAAGGTGATACCTTTGATGTTTGGTCCTGTGTGTTGAATTGTAGTGACCACATCAAAGAAGTTACCACACCAAATGACCAGTACTTATACATAATGACCACACCAAGTGACCAGTACATAAACATAGTGACCACTCTTAGTGACCAATACTTATACATAGTGACCACACCAAGTGACCAGTACATAAACATAGTGACCACTCTTAGTGACCAATACTTATACATAGTGACCACACCAAGTGACCAGTACTTAAACATAGTGACCACACCAAGTGATCAGTACTTAAACATAGTGACCACACCAAGTGACCAGTACTTAAACATAGTGTCCACACCCAGTGAGCAGTACTTAAACATAGTGACCACACCAAATGACCAGTACTAAAACATAGTGTCCACACCAAGTGACCAGTACTTAAACATAGTGACCACACCAAGTGACCAGTACTTAAACATAGTGTCCACACCCAGTGAGCAGTACTTAAACATAGTGACCACACCAAATGACCAGTACTAAAACATAGTGTCCACACCCAGTGAGCAGTACTTAAACATAGTGTCCACACCCAGTGACCAGTACTAAAACATAGTGTCCACACCAAGTGATCAGTACTTAAACATAGTGTCCACACCAAGTGACCAGTACTTAAACATAGTGTCCACACCAAGTGATCAGTACTTAAACATAGTGTCCACACCAAGTGACCAGTACTTAAACATAGTGTCCACACCAAGTGACCAGTACTTAAACATAGTGTCCACACCAAGTGACCAGTACTTAAACATAGTGTCCACACCAAGTGATCAGTACTTAAACATAGTGTCCACACCAAGTGATCAGTACTTAAACATAGTGTCCACACCAAGTGACCAGTACTTAAACATAGTGTCCACACCAAGTGACCAGTACTTAAACATAGTGACCACACCAAGTGACCAGTACTTAAACATAGTGTCCACACCAAGTGACCAGTACTTAAACATAGTGACCACTCTTAGTGACCAGTACTAATACATAATGACCACACCAAATGACCAGTACTAAAACATAGTGACCACACCAAGTGACCAGTACTTAAACATAGTTTCCACACCAAGTGACTAGTACTTAAACATAGTGACAACACCAAGTGACCAGTTCTTAAACATAGTGACCACATGTAGTCACCAGAGTATATACAGTGACCACATCTAGTGACCATGTATATATTTGTTCTCTCCTGTGTTTGTTACAACCTAAAACCCGAGGGAACCAGTCAGTAATAACCTGTTAGTAGTATAACATGTAAAATAAGAGCTTGCCTACTGTCACAAGTACTTTGCACTAAATAGCCTCCACACACAGATTTTCAAGGTGCTTTCCACCCTCCATCGCATTCCCCCTCCCTGGTTTCTACAAAATACAAAACAAAATGCCCAAATTGTTTCCACTTCCCAGTTAATTTCATCCAATCACAATAGGATTTCTCTCCTTACTCGCCCATCACAATACAGTCTTCTCTCTCCAGTAGACTCCATCCCATCACAATACAATCTCCCCTCCCAGTAAACTCCACCCCACCACAATACAATCTCCCCTCCCCAGTAGACTCCATCCCATCACAATACAATCTCCCCTCCCAGTAAACTCCACCCCATCACAATACAATCTCCCCTCCCCAGTAAACTCCACCCCATCACAATACAATCTCCCCTCCCCAGTTAACTCCATCACAATACAATCTCCCCTCCCAAGTGAGATTCCCTTGTCCCTGTTTAATTTTGTCTTATCACTTCCCTCATTATTCCTGTACACGGTAAGATTTTCTTAACAATTTTAATAGCTGTGTATGTTTCTGCTGAAATCAGGAGAAATATGGTGTGGTGTGTGTTATTTTGAGCAGCATGGTGTATTCCCTATCTTACAAGTGTATCAGAGATCTCTGAACTGATAGCTAGTGATGTTATACTAATATTACCTTAGTTTATCAACAAGTGGAGATGACCATAAATCTATTTTTGTTACTACCAGCTGATGCTTGGCTCTTAAACTCCTGGTATTTTTTAGGTTTAATTCTTATTAATATGGTTGAAATTAGTACTCTCCTAAACTTTCAAGTAATTAATACTGACCTGTACCAGGATTTTGGGTTTTACGACAAGGGGCAATAAGTGCAGACCTTGTAACATTATTTTGTGTGAAGGGGAGGTAATGAGTACTGACCTGAATATGGATTTTTGGTTCTATGAAAGTGGGGGATAAGTGCTGACCTTGTACCATTATTTTATTTTGTGTGAAGGGGAGGTAATTAGTACTGACCTGTATATGGATTCTTAGTTCTATGAAAGGGGAGGTAATGAGTACTGACCTGTATATGGATTTTTGGTTCTATGACAAGGGGAGGTAATTAGTAATGACATGTACCTGGATATTTGTTTCTGTGAAAGTAGGGGATAAGTGCTGACTAGTACCATTTGAATGAAGTTCTCCCTATCCAAGCAGCATATTGCAGCTTGTATTTATCACAGTACCATTTCTCTTGATTATAAACTCGCATGTCGCCAATAGAATGCAGACAAGTATTATTCTGACCTTCACCAACATTTGCTAGACCAGCATAACCAGTCTAATTAACTCATTAAGTTTCAAGGCATTTGAAACAGTAAAGAAATTAGTGTAAGATAAAATTTAATGAATCAATAAAATGTGGGTGGGTGCTTCTTTGTAATGTCTTACTTGTAGCATCATGTGGGGATTTTTGTTTGCTGTAAAATAAAAGAATTTGTGCTGCTGATCTGATGTCATTTGGATGCCTCATCATTCTCTAGCCTTAGTTAGGGAGTTACAGCTGCTCTGATAACAGTAAACACCTTTATATTTGTCGGAGATATAGTTCTGTGTTTTATTTCATAAGATATAAAATTTAGCAGGAATATGAATAAACGGCCTCGTTATCTTTCCATTAAACAAAAGAGTGTTTGATTTTCTAAAAATTTATCTAAAAATTGCACATTTGTTGTTTTACATTTGCATCAGAATAGGTGAGGATCATAGCAAGATCATAACCATAAAGAACCTGTAATAAACAACCTGAATATATTGAAGTAAACAATAACAATATATAAGTGATTGTGAGGCTAACCGAGATAGTATCACAAGGTTTTATGGAAATCCCCAGTGACTAACTCTATGCTTAGGGCTGAAATGATTAGATGTTGTGGTTTAAACCAATCTTACCTCCACACCAAAATTTATATCTAAGTTGTTCACTTAATATATGAACAAGTGTTCCAGTCATGTGGTTACATGGAGGATTGTGATAATGCTAGAGTGATCAGACAGAGTGCTGATGTTTTATTTGACACTTTAAATATATTTTACTGAAAGACTGACTTCCTATCGTTTCATTTTGTTTGGAATGGTTGTGAAATGAGCGAATGATAAGTGAGGTTTTAATATGATTTAAGTTTATGACAAATCATAGGTATCACCAGCTACATCTGGTATACACACAGGTGATAAACACACAGGTGTGTAATTACATCAGGTTGGGTTTTATTGACAAGAAATGTTTGTTATTAAAGCGATGTTGTATATTTTATTGTGAAAGCCACATTTCTATTGATGAAGTACTGCAGTAAAGTCTAGAGATATGTAAGCTAGATAGCCAACACACAGACTGATGTATAATTAGGGAATTTTCTAGTGTGTAGATCTACCTGTAATTCTGTGACATCGTCACTCAGTTAGCTTCATTTCCCAATGTCAGAAAATTTGCACATTTGCAAAATTGAAACATTCTTAGGAAATGCTTTGTTTTATGAAATTGCTCTGTTTAACCACAGTAGGCTACTACTGATGTATATGTTTACATACTGGTTTCACATTATTTCTACCAAATGGTTTCACATTATTTTTACCTAATGGTTTAACATTATTTCATTATTTCTACCTAATGGTTTAAGATTGTTTCATATCTGTACATACTGGTTTCACATTATTTCTACATAATGGTTTCACATTGTTTCATTACCTCTACATAATGGTTTCACATGGTTTCATATCTCTAAATAATGGTTTCACATTGTTTCATATCTCTACATAATGGTTTCACATTGTTTCATATCTCTACATAATGGTTTAACATTGTTTCATATCTCTACATAATGGTTTCACATTGTTTCATATCTCTACATAATGGTTTCACATTGTTTCATATCTCTACATAATGGTTTCACATGGTTTCATTATTTCTACCTAATGGTTTAACATTGTTTCATATCTGTACCTACTGGTTTCACATTATTTCTACCTAATGGTTTAACATTATTTCATATCTCTACATACTGGTTTCACATTATTTCTACATAATGGTTTCACATTGTTCCATTATCTCTACATAATGGTTTCACATGGTTTCATATCTCTACATAATGGTTTCACATTGTTTCATATCTCTACATAATGGTTTCACATTGTTTCATATCTCTACATAATGGTTTCACATTGTTTCATTTCTCTACATAATGGTTTCACATTGTTTCATATCTCTACATAATGGTTTCACATTGTTTCATTATTTCTACCTAATGGTTTAACATTGTTTCATATCTCTACATACTGGTTTCACATTATTTCTACCTAATGGTTTAACATTGTTTCATATCTCTACATACTGGTTTCACATTATTTCTACATACTGGTTTCACATTGTTTCATTATTTCTACATACTGGTTTCACATTATTTCTACATAATGGTTTCACATTGTTACATTATTTCTACATAATAGTTTCACATTGTTTCATTATTTCTACATAATGGTTTCACATTGTTTCATATCTGTACATAATGGTTTCACATTGTTTCATTATTTCTACATAATGGTTTCACATTGTTTCATTATCTCTACATAATGGTTTCACATTGTTTCATTATTTCTACCTAATGGTTTCACATTCACTTACCTTATCTTGACCTTAATCCCATTTTTTTTGGTTTCAGAAAGGACAGCCATCATGCTCTCCTCGACTTGACATGGCCAACTGTACAGGTACGTTTTAAAAATATATTTGTTTTCTTATACCTGGAATGGCATGAGATATGTATATATATATAATGAGTCAAAAATTGACATTAATAAGGTGTAACATTGTTTGTTACAGCCCCATGTTCTGACTCTCCATGTAAAAATGAAGGGTCCTGTGTCGATGTTGGAATGGACGGCTACCATTGTGATTGTGTACCCCCCTTTGATGGCCCCACATGTGAGGTGCGACAGAACCCCTGTGTATGGCCCCTGGAGATGGGTTGCTGTGATGGTAACAACACGGTGCTGCGATACTTCTATGACCGATTCACTGAGGATTGTCTCCCTTTCAACTACTCTGGTATATTTCTGTAGATATAGTTTGGTGTAACTTATTGTCTTTACATTTCTTATCTGACCGTTCATACATAACTTTTCTAAACACACATAGTATTCAGTTTAGATATTCTATATATCCAGGATTAAACTGTTAGTTCAATTTATTTTAAAAAGTGGACAATTTCAGTCATAGTTCAATTTATTTTAAAAAGTGGACAATTTCAGTCATAAGTTCAATTTATTTTTAAAAAGTGGACAATTTCAGTCATAAGTAATCACTTTCCAAGCCTACTGAAATCAGCACCTCAGAGAAGGAAGATAGTCCAAGTTGTTGCAGAAATTGAAAATTTAGATTTATATGGCTAAAATAGAGTGATAAGATCTGGTCATTAGTTTTAATGTGTATAAATATATAAAGTTTATAAAATATCTGCAATACATGTGAATAGTACTTCTTGTGCAAAAATGGCAGCCCATGAAATGTTAACAGATCATCAACAAATTGGGACAATATTCATAAAAGGTTTTAAACGTTTACCAAAGAAATTACTTTCATCATTTAATTGTCTTGTAAATTTAGCAGCATTTTGACAACTTTGATTTAGAAATTATTTGAAAACAATATTAGAACGAGACTGGCAGAACAAATTTCTACATTTGATAGGTTTCCTACATGTAATAAACAATCTCATAGGTTTCTGTAACTTCTAGAAATAAAAATGCCCATCACTGCTACGTGTTACAATAAGAAAATGATTTCTGTAAAAGAAATGTAGGAAGGAAGGCTTGGAGATGGGATTAGGTAATAACAATGTCTGTTTGTACTTCCTGTGTCAATGGACCATCCAAAGTTATACTGACTAGACAAAGCTGCCAGTTGCAGAGATTTTATCTAATTAGGGTTTGTACATTATTGTATGAGAACAGGTTGTGGTGGAAACGTCAACAATTATGAGACTCTAGAACAGTGTCGCAGTGTGGCCATGACTGGTGCCTGCTGTTTCAGGAGGTTCAAGACAGATATTGATGCTCTTATAGATGGAGAACAAGGGGAGGAGTCTAAGTGTGAGGTACATAGCAACCCGCTTTCCTTGACAACCACATGTTTTATTACAAAATGGTAATGTAACTAATTAACTAAACAAGTGTTAAAGCTGCAGATTTGTTTAGGTTCAAGAAGACTTGAAAATCCAATGAGGATATAGACCCAAACATCAGTGACCACATGAGACTTAACCAAGTGCTTACAATGAATTATAGGTATACAAATGCTGCAGTATGAGAAACGCTTTAAATTCTTAGACTTTTTTAAACAAAATCTGATTTCTCCATTTCATTGATATCATTACTCCCAGATTTGTATTGTTTACAGATCTTAAGTATTGGTGATTGTCGGAGCCTCCATGGTGACAGTAGACTAGGCTACAAGCTGGAGGTAACAGCCTTTTCTCCAGGCCAGCTGTGTGAGGAAGTCAACTGTCTAATGCCCTCTGACAAGTGTATGTATGACGGTCAGACCTACTCACCTGGAGACAAGATACCTCAGGGCTGTCAGGACTGTATGTGTGAGGCTGATGGTCAGTGGACCTGCAGGTAACTACAGGAGCTATCTCTTATAGATCACAGGGGTTACTACTTACTATAGACAGGGGTCAGAACTCAGAATTATACAGAAAGTGATCAGATGTTTAGTAACTATGGACAGTGGTCAGAAGTCAGAATTATACAGAAAGAGGTCAGATGTCTAGTTACTATACACAGAGGTTAGGAGTCGGAATTATACAGAAAGAGATCAGATGTCTAGTTACTATGGACAGGGGTCAGAAGTCAGAATTATACAGAACGAGGTCAGATGTTTAGTAACTATGGACAGAGGTCAGAATTATACAGAAAGAGGTCAGATGTTTAGTAGCTATGGACAGTGGTCAGAAGTCAGAATTATACAGAAAGAGGTCAGATGTCTAGTTACTATACACAGAGGTTAGGAGTCAGAATTATACCGAAAGAGATCAGATGTCTAGTTACTATGGACAGGGGTCAGAAGTCAGAATTATACAGAACGAGGTCAGATGTCTAGTTACTATGGACACGGGTCAGAAGTCAGAATTATACAGAACGAGGTCAGATGTTTAGTAACTCTGGACAGAGGTCAGAATTATACAGAACGAGGTCAGATGTCTAGTAACTATGGACAGTGGTCAGAACTCAGAATTATACAGAAAGTGATCAGATGTTTAGTAACTATGGACAGTGGTCTGAAGTCAGAATTATACAGAAAGAGATCAGATGTCTAGTTACTATGGACAGGGGTCAGAATTCAGAATTATACAGAACGAGGTCAGATGTTTAGTAACTATGGACAGAGGTCAGAATTATACAGAAAGAGGTCAGATGTTTAGTAGCTATGGACAGTGGTCAGAAGTCAGAATTATACAGAAAGAGGTCAGATGTCTAGTTACTATACACAGAGATTAGGAGTCAGAATTATACCGAAAGAGATCAGATGTCTAGTTACTATGGACACGGGTCAGAAGTCAGAATTATACAGAACGAGGTCAGATGTCTAGTTACTATGGACATGGGTCAGAAGTCAGAATTATACAGAACGAGGTCAGATGTCTAGTTAATATGGACACGGGTCAGAAGTCAGAATTATACAGAACGAGGTCAGATGTTTAGTTACTCTGGACAGAGGTCAGAATTATACAGAACGAGGTCAGATGTCTAGTTCCAACAGATAGATTTCTGGTTAGATGTTTAGTTTTTACTGACATGATGAACAAATGAATACTTGTACCAATACTGTCATCTGTCAATATGCCTTTTTAAGTCCTTTTCTTGAATGGTATTCACCTCATCATTACGTATATTATCCTGTCAGGACTCCTTAATGATAATTACATTTTACAGCTGCAAAGTGGTGTCAGAAAGGAAGGAAATCCGTGACATGACGCGTGAGGAGCTGGTAAAATTTTACTCTGCTGTCCAGCAGTTACGCCTCAGTGGTCCCGGTAATGACTGGGAGAAGTTACGAGATGTCTATATGATACACAGCATGCAGGCTAATGGTGGTCAGTTCTACCTTCCATGGCACCGCATCTTCTTACGGCGACTGGAACAGAAGCTACAGAGAATCGACTGCTCTATTACGCTGCCATACTTTGACTTCACCACAGACTCTGGCAGGCTTGCCGATGCTGTTATCTGGCAACCAAGTTACTTTGGTGGTGAAGGCGAGGCTGACAGTTGTGTGCCAGACCATCCATTTGGTCAGCCAGGGTCTTGGCGTCCTTGTATCTTGAGAAAGTTTGATATGGCGGTTCCTATTCCCTCCTTAGCTGATCTGTCCATTGCACTCAGCAGTGAGAATTTCTTAGACATGAGCATGTTCCTGGAGACCTACCTGAGTTACGTCCATCGCTATATTGGTGGAGATATGCTCACCACCGGTGCCCCCTATGACCCCATTTTCTACTCTATTCATGCATATGTAGATATGTTGTACTGGCAATGGCAACAGAAAGGAAACAACAAGAACATGTTCCCCGGAGCCTACGGAAACATTCCAATGGTACCTTTTAACATTCCAGCTCGTAGTGTTCTTGACCTTGAAGCTGCAGTGTGTGTGACATATGCTTTACCCTCTAAAGGTAACCCCTGTAATGTGACCTTGACCCCTGGCCCTGATCCCAATAGACAGCCAGATAGAGGAGACATACCTGCGGTGACAGTTGATCTGAATTTGCCAGGCTATGAAGCAGGCTTTGATCGTCGAGGCTTTAGCCAAGATGGATTTGGCAAGGACGGTGAGTGACCTTTGACCTTCAAATCTTTTCATCTTATGACCTGTCAATTTATATCCGGCTTTATAAGAAGTACATGTCATATTCATTCACTTCATGCAATTATCAGTAAATGTAAGAAAAGTAAAGTATAAAGTATTCACCGAGTGTAGTTATCTGTGTTTTTCAGGTTTTAACAGGGATAACTATGACAGGGAGGGTTATAATCGCTGTGGTTATAACAGATATGGTCTGAACCGTGAAGGCTACACTAAATATGGCTTCGATGTGGAGGGCTTTGATCGTAATGGAGAGGAAGACACCACAGGACGTTACCATAGCAATGGATATAATGACTTCTGTCTGAACAGAAGAGGTAAAGTTTTGTCGTTACACATGAAATATATTGTATGACATAATCTAGCAGAGCTGTGATTAGCTGAAAGTTCCCATTGTTTCCATGGTGATGTAAGCAAGGAAAAGAGGTAAAGCATAGTAATATTGCTAATTTATATTTTGTATCAGACTGATAAATCAATGTTTTCACAAATGTGTATAAGAGTATAAAAGTTATATTATAAACAGTCTTGCATTCAATTTTGTGTGAGAATTTATGAAACTTTAGTGGAATTTTTTGTTTTATTGTTTCACAAATCTTGTATGAATGAAAAAACCATATATAAAGATCTTCTATAATACCTATTGTGTACATACTTTATTATGATTTTTCTAGGTTCGACAAGAGATGGTAACCTCACGTATGGGTTTACAGTGGGTGTGAAACATATTGTAAATGATTATTTTGATTTTTCCAGGTTTGACAAGAGATGGTTATGACAAGCACGGGTTTACTATCGGAGGGATTGATGCCAATGAGTGTTCCTACTACTATAAAGGACCCTTTGCAACAACCCAGACATTGAAGATCTGGGATATCTTATCTCTACAAGGTCAGGGTTTTCTTATGACTTTTCCTCGCCTGTGTCCTCCACTGGACCCTGTTCCAATCAGCTGGGCTGAGCAGTTCTGGATCACACAGATCAAAGATGTGTCAGGTAGGTACGAGGTTAATCTGTATAAATCTGCTAGCTTGTGTTGGATAGAAAAGTTACCTTTTTGACTAGAAACAAAGAATTTGTATAGACAGGTATACATGAATTTTCAGTAGCATCAGTGATTACAGACTCTCCCAGTACTCAGATCATTGTTATATGGATGTTATAACCACATGTGTCTGTTACAGCCCTTGTGCCCAGTGCAAACACTGACCAGACATTATCAGCAGCAGATTCCCGCTTCTGCTTCGACACGCAGTCTTTTCTGACCCCATGTACCTGCGAGACAACAGTGGCTAGCTGTGTGACCAACCCCTGCCTTACTGCATCCTGTCCCTCCTGGCCAGAAGCCACGTGTCACATCAATTTCTGCACAGAATGTCGTGATGTCTGGTTTTATGATGATCAGATTGTTGACTGTCAAGGAGAGAGGGGTTGGTGTTTGTCACATCTGTAGATAACTCTATCTACCTTGTATGACATAACTTTTTGAGCATCTACATTATTTTCATGTTTATAAAAAATAATTTGATACAATAATTTTATTCAAACTGTTAACAGGATTTGTTCAGATTGTTATTAGTTTGTGCCAAAATAGGTATGTTAATAGTAATTAATGATAATGTTGTTGTAACAGATTTCTGCGAGCCAAACCCTTGTCAGAATGGTGGCAGTTGTGTCCCTTCTATCTGGCCTACTGAGCCTCAGCTGGTCACCTGTACCTGTCCACCAGGATGGGACGGACACCTGTGTCAGTTTCCAGCACTGGACGTCTGTAGCCTCCCTATCAACACAGGTAAGTGTACCTGTCCCCAAGACAGATCCCTGTAGTTTCCAGCACTGAATAATTTGAAGAAAATGTAGGCCTCATCTTTTCCCAAAAAATATTCAAGACAGACATGTTTACTTTAATGCTTTGTGGGCAGGAGACCTGCTGGTACTATAACCCCCAGTCACTGGCCTGTGAAATGTTGGTATATATAGATGTTTATTTCAGGATATCTGTGTGGGCAAGAGACCCGCTGGTACTATAACCCCCAGTCACTGGCCTGTGAAATGTTGGTATATATAGATGTTTATTTCAGGATATCTGTGTGGGCAAGAAACCCGCTGGTACTATAACCCCCAGTCACGAGCCTGTGAGGAGTTTGTATACATGGGCTGTGGAGGTAATGCTAACAACTTCCCGACATTAGAGGCTTGTCAGGCTCGTTGTTCCATTGGTGCATGTTGTCACAGACAACCCAGCTTCAGAAACAGAAACATTGGATATGGCGTTCAGGGTTATGATAGGTAGGTATACATTCATAAAAAGTCCATTTTTATCTTAAAACCATTTATTGGAAGTCACAATTAAGAAATATATGTGGTACTTATGGTTTAGATAACCGCCACATGGGATATCATCAGGTAATTACAAGTCCCATTTATTGGAAATCACAATTAAGAAATATATGTGGTACTTATGGTTTAGATAACCGCCACATGGGATATCATCAGGTAATTACAGATCTCTCAGTAATTATATATCATCAGGTAATTACAGATCTCTCAGTAATTATATATCATCAGGTAATTACAGATCTCTCAGTAATTATATATCATCAGGTAATTACAGATCTCTCAGTAATTATATATCATCAGGTAATTACAGATCTCTCAGTAATTATATATCATCAGGTAATTACAGATCTCTTAGTAATTATATATCATCAGGTAATTACAGATCTCTTAGTAATTATATATCATCAGGTAATTACAGATCTCTTAGTAATTACAGATCTCTTAGTAATTATATATCATCAGGTAATTACAGATCGATTATAATTATATATCATCAGGTAATTACTGATATTTTAGTAATTATATATCATCAGGTAATTACAGATCTCTTAGTAATTATATATCATCAGATAATTACAGATATTTTAGTAATTATATATCATCAGGTAATTACAGATATCTTAGTAATTATATATCATCAGGTAATTACAGATCTCTCTGTAATTATATATCATCAGGTAATTACAGATATCTTAGTAATTATATATCATCAGGTAATTACAGATCTCTTAGTAATTATATATCATCAGGTAATTACAGTAATTATATATCTCTTAGTAATTATATATCATCAGGTAATTACAGATATCTTAGTAATTATATATCATCACATATAATATAGAACCTCAAATAATGATTTATATCCTGACTACAGGTATGGGTTCAACATGAAGGGTGTAAACAAACGAGAAGAACCCAGGACTGTCAACAATGCATTCTTCAATGGCAGTGAAGTCTACAATTCCAAGGGCTACGATTGGCAGGGTATGTAGGAAGAACAGGATGGCCCGAGTGCACATTGTTAATGTATTTGTCTTTTGCCTAGGTGTTGGTGATTCAGTTCCCCAGATGTGAAAAGTTTGTCCCAACACTTTGATTTTCTCCAGATACTCAAGGTTCCACGTACAGTAAGGTCTAGCATGCACTTTCATCCTGGCAAACAAGAGTGATGAATGTTTACTTATAGCATATTATAGATTTGTTACAAAATAAAGAACTGTACAAACTATTTTCTCGTAATGTATACTGTGTAACAGGTTTTTTTTTTCACTTGTGTCAATGTTTTCATCATTTTACGCTATGGTGAGTATTTAATTGGTGAAGATAAATTGAAGTCTTGCTCTGTAATGACAAAAGCGTGACGTGGTTGAAATAGGATATTCTCGAATTGATATTTGAATTTGGAAATTTGTGCTGGGTGAAATAGGTGAGTGATTCAGTATATAAAAGAAACGTCTTCATCTTAAACCTTATCAAGCTAAACAGGATAATGTCAGCTTCATGCAAAATTCACTTCATTGATCACAAAAATGGATTAATGACATTATATGTTGTTCAGGTTTTGACCGATTTGGATACAACAAGAACGGATTTGATCGCTTTGGTTACGACAGAAATGGCTTTGATCAGGAAGGATTCAACCTGCTCGGGTATAGTGAAATAGGGGATTATGATGGCAACATTGACTACAATGAAGATGGATACGATAGTGAGGGATATAACAGGTGAGTAGACTAATGGCGTCTTCTTCCCCTTGAGGTGAGTGAGGGAAATCTCAATCTTGAAAAGATTTCTAAGTTGGTAGACACATAGCTTGCTAGCTATATGCAACATAATAATCTTTCTCTGAGGTTTGAGACACTACACTCTTCTCTATTTCACTCACAGGGAGTTGCTTGGTCATTTTTACTATTGCTATTTTGTAACTGAATGACAAACAGTGGGTTGTAATAATTCATTCATTATGATTTAAAGGAATTTCCACCTCCCCATCACAACAAGCAAATCTGGCACCAGTTAAAGTGTGGATACTCTTGTCTAGAATAACAAGACATCACATATGTGTACATATTGAATGCAGTTGAGTGAGGTGAACCTTAGTTGTAAAGACTGAGAGTGTGAGTGAGGAGAACCTTAGTTATAAAGACTGAGAGTATGAGTGAGGAGAACCTTAGTTATAAAGACTGAGAGTATGAGTGAGGAGAACCTTAGTTATAAAGACTGAAAGTATGAGTGAGGAGAACCTTAGTTATAAAGACTGAGAGTGTGGGTGAGGAGAACTTAGTTATAAAGACTGAGAGTATGAGTGAGGTGAACCTTAGTTATAAAGACTGAGAGTGTGAGTGAGGAGAACCTTAGTTATAAAGACTGAGAGTGTGAGTGAGGAGAACCTTAGTTATAAAGACTGAGAGTATGAGTGAGGAGAACCTTAGTTATAAAGACTGAGAGTGTGAGTGAGGAGAACCTTAGTTATAAAGACTGAGAGTATGAGTGAGGAGAACCTTAGTTATAAAGACTGAGAGTGTGAGTGAGGAGAACCTTAGTTATAAAGACTGAGAGTGTGAGTGAGGAGAACCTTAGTTATAAAGACTGAGAGTATGAGTGAGGAGAACCTTAGTTATAAAGACTGTATGAGTGAGGAGAACCTTAGTTATAAAGACTGAGAGTATGAGTGAGGAGAACCTTAGTTATAAAGACTGAGAGTGTGAGTGAGGAGAACCTTAGTTATAAAGACTGAAAGTATGAGTGAGGAGAACCTTAGTTATAAAGACTGAGAGTGTGAGTGAGGAGAACCTTAGTTATAAAGACTGAGAGTGTGAGTGAGGAGAACCTTAGTTATAAAGACTGAGAGTATGAGTGAGGAGAACCTTAGTTATAAAGACTGAGAGTGTGAGTGAGGAGAACCTTAGTTATAAAGACTGAGAGTATGAGTGAGGAGAACCTTAGTTATAAAGACTGAGAGTATGAGTGAGGAGAACCTTAGTTATAAAGACTGAGAGTATGAGTGAGGAGAACCTTAGTTATAAAGACTAGAGTATGAGTGAGGAGAACCTTAGTTATAAAGACTGAGAGTATGAGTGAGGAGAACCTTAGTTATAAAGACTGAGAGTGTGAGTGAGGAGAACCTTAGTTATAAAGACTGAGAGTGTGAGTGAGGAGAACCTTAGTTATAAAGACTGAGAGTGTGAGTGAGGAGAACTTAGTTATAAAGACTGAGAGTGTGAGTGAGGTGAACCTTAGTTATAAAGACTGAGAGTATGAGTGAGGAGAACCTTAGTTATAAAGACTGAGAGTTTGAGTGAGGAGAACCTTAGTTATAAAGACTGAGAGTATGAGTGAGGAGAACCTTAGTTATAAAGACTGAGAGTATGAGTGAGGAGAACCTTAGTTATAAAGACTGAGAGTATGAGTGAGGAGAACCTTAGTTATAAAGACTGAGAGTGTGAGTGAGGAGAACCTTAGTTATAAAGACTGAGAGTGTGAGTGAGGAGAACCTTAGTTATAAAGACTAGAGTATGAGTGAGGAGAACCTTAGTTATAAAGACTGAGAGTATGAGTGAGGAGAACCTTAGTTATAAAGACTGAAAGTATGAGTGAGGAGAACCTTAGTTATAAAGACTGAGAGTATGAGTGAGGAGAACCTTAGTTATAAAGACTGAGAGTATGAGTGAGGAGAACCTTAGTTATAAAGACTGAGAGTATGAGTGAGGAGAACCTTAGTTATAAAGACTGAGAGTGTGAGTGAGGAGAACCTTAGTTATAAAGACTGAGAGTGTGAGTGAGGAGAACCTTAGTTATAAAGACTGAGAGTGTGAGTGAGGAGAACCTTAGTTATAAAGACTGAGAGTATGAGTGAGGAGAACCTTAGTTATAAAGACTGAGAGTGTGAGTGAGGAGAACCTTAGTTATAAAGACTGAGAGTGTGAGTGAGGAGAACCTTAGTTATAAAGACTGAGAGTATGAGTGAGGAGAACCTTAGTTATAAAGACTGAGAGTGTGAGTGAGGAGAACCTTAGTTATAAAGACTGAGAGTGTGAGTGAGGAGAACCTTAGTTATAAAGACTGAAAGTATGAGTGAGGAGAACCTTAGTTATAAAGACTGAGAGTGTGAGTGAGGAGAACCTTAGTTATAAAGACTGAGAGTGTGAGTGAGGAGAACCTCAGTTATAAAGACTGAGAATGTGAGTGAGGAGAACCTCAGTTATAAAGACTGAGAGTGTGAGTGAGGAGAACCTTAGTTATAAAGACTGAGAGTATGAGTGAGGAGAACCTTAGTTATAAAGACTGAGAGTGTGAGTGAGGAGAACCTTAGTTATAAAGACTGAGAGTGTGAGTACCTTAGTTATAAAGACTGAGAGTGAGTGAGGAGAACCTTAGTTATAAAGACTAGAGTATGAGTGAGGAGAACCTTAGTTATAAAGACTGAGAGTGTGAGTGAGGAGAACCTTAGTTATAAAGACTGAGAGTATGAGTGAGGTGAACCTTAGTTATAAAGACTGAAAGTATGAGTGAGGAGAACCTTAGTTATAAAGACTGAGAGTATGAGTGAGGAGAACCTTAGTTATAAAGACTGAGAGTGTGAGTGAGGAGAACCTTAGTTATAAAGACTGAGAGTATGAGTGAGGAGAACCTTAGTTATAAAGACTGAGAGTATGAGTGAGGTGAACCTTAGTTATAAAGACTGAGAGTATGAGTGAGGAGAACCTTAGTTATAAAGACTGAGAATGTGGGTGAGGAGAACCTTAGTTATAAAGACTGAGAGTGTGAGTGAGGAGAACCTTAGTTATGAAGACTGAGAGTATGAGTGAGGAGAATAATGAGTGTTGAATGAAGTCAGCTGACCCTGTTCCTTTCTTTAGAAAACTAATATCACAGATCTGTAAAGTCTTCAGTATTCAGTTATATGTAATTTTGGAAATATTTACAATCTTGAAAAACTAATAAAAGGATGTTCTTGAATATAAACAAAGATTTGAGTGATGAAATGTCAGTAGTTAATGGCCTTTAATTAGCACCATTTCTACCAATGGATTTGTTTAATTCACGTTTTTCTATTTGTGTTTCTTATTGTTTGCAGGGCTGGCATGAATTGTCAGGGACACAATCGGCGTGGCTTGAACTCACGTGAAGTCACTGTGGCCTACCTTTACAGCTGTAGATCAGCATCCTTGGACCAGTGTCAGAACCTGGGCAAGGGTCAAGAGGCCATCAAGTTTGTTCCAGGCCAGAGATGCGAAGTAACACAATGTGAAAAGCCATGTGGATGTAGCCATGGTAACATGAGCTATGCTTTTGGGGAGAAGTTTCGACGTGGTTGCCAGACGTGCACCTGTTTGCCGAGTGGATCCGTGATATGTGATTGTGTCAGTGTGCGACAGAGGAAGGAGGTGCGAGATATGAGCCGAGAAGAGATTGAGAAGTTCCAGGCTGCCATTAAATATCTGGCCAAGGAAACTGGTCATCCATCGCGCTGGTACTCCCTTGCAAAGATGTATGCAGACCACAGACCACAAGCTGTGGGAGGGGACCACTATCTTCCTTGGCTCCGTTATTTCCTGCAGTATGTGGAGCAGGAACTCCAAGAAATTGACTGCAGTCTCACCATTCCCTACTTTGATTGGACAGTAGATGTAGGCGACTTGAGGAAAAGTATTGTTTGGGCAGCTAATATGTATGGTGGTAACGGTGAGACATTGGAGGGCTGTGTTCGTACTCATCCATTTAAGGATTACCATCCACCTTTCTGGGCCCCGTGTCTACGGCGTCAGTTCAACACGAAAGTCAGTCTACCTGATGCTGTCAATTTAGAGTTACTCATGCGCCAGCCTCGATATGAGAATTTCCGTCTGCGGTTGGAAGTAATGTCCAACCAGTTCCAAGCCTGGGTTGGAGGTCATATGCAGACGGAGCTTGCACCCTACGACCCACTTTTTCTGTCTCACATGGCATTTATAGACAGGCTGTGGTCGGAGTGGCAAAAACGTCAGGGCAATGGCTACTTTAACTATCCACAAAAGCTGCGTTATATTCCCATGGTACCATTTGGAGTTACCCCTGATGACGTGATGGCCTCAGAAGGACAGATGTGTGTGGGTTATCTACCCCTGTCAGAAGGAGCTCTGTGCAACACGTCTGTGCCTCTCTTTGGCTATGACAGTGAGGGATATGATCGCCATGGATATGATAGAGAGGGTTTTGACAGGGATGGATTCAACAAACGAGCAATGGACCGTGATGGTAACACAGACATGCGTGGAATTTTTAGTACCACGGGTCTAGATCGTCATGGCTATAAACGGAATGGTTATGATACTATGGACTTTGACCGTTATGGTTTCTACTATGACATGTACAATTTGGATGGAGTGGACAGCTCTGGCTATGACCGGGACGGATATGATCGGTATGGATTTAACCGTAATGGAATGACACCCTATGGTTTCCTAGGCAACGGGACATGGACACGGGGAGAAAGGTTGGACCTATTTGATCATTTTGGTTACAATAGGTATGGTTACAGTAGTAATGGATTGGACAGAAATGGCTATGATGTATTTGGTTTTGACTCTGTAGGTTTTGATAAACGCATGTGTAACAACTTCTATCTAGGTCCTGTATATGTGATCATTAAACGCTGGACAGAAATGGAATTAGAGAAACTGGATGATTTGTCCCTACAAATCATCACAAGGATCTGTCCAGCAGTAACAGTGCTACCATCCTGGGTCTACTCATTCAGCTGGTTCCTGCGTGGTAACCAGGTGGCCCAGATTGAGGCAATACAGAACAGGGAGCAGACAGATTACACACCTAGAACATCCAGTGTCCTGGACAACGACCTCTGGTTACCAGTTCCTCCTGACAACAGGTAAGTTTTCTCATTGACACACATTTCCCAAGATCAAAGGTACGGAACAATTGAGTGTATGTTTTAACTTATAGGTAAGTAAACATGATATGTTTTTAATTAACCTGATTTAAATGACCTGTTTCAAATGATTTTGGTGTCATGAGCTTGTTTCCAGAATCATAAAAAAGCATGATCACGTGAATGTTCATACAACTGTAATATCACTATGTAACATGATCTGTTAATTTTTCCCCACAGGTTGTGTTTTGTGACTAACTACTACAACAAGTGCCCATTTGGACAATTACCTGTGTCTTGTCCTGATATGTGTGGCAATAGACAATGTCCAGGTAAGGCCTACCAAATAAAACAATCAAATGGATGATGTAGAAGTTTTAAATTCTGGTAGTTAAATTTTAAAAAAATCCTAACGAAGGGAGAGAGCACCAACATCCTGACTGCTTTAGGTCATGATAAAGACAATTGTAATTGTGTCACAGATGAGCCCTTATTTCAATCTTAGCTATGTAAATATTTATACCATTGTTCAGATGACAGCTAGCTTAGCTACCCAAAACATGTAAACAAATAATAAAATCATAGAATCCAGATGTTAATGCTTTGTCTTCCATGTCATTCTAGTTGTTAGTTTTAGATAAGGTGTCTGATGCTGTATCTCACTGATGTACATTGTAGGTATCGTAGATGCTGTGTGTAGGACAAACAACTGTGGACGCTGTCACCAGGAGTGGTACAACGGAGTCACAGGAAACATCATTGAATGTAGCGGTGAGTTGTCTTCCCTGAAGGAATCGTTTGGTGCTAGATGTTTATGCTAAATCTTATCATCTTATCAAAGGACCCAAAACTAAATTGAATCTTCTGGAATTTATTTTAAGTTTTTTTTAACAAAAAAGCAAAACTTACTGTTATTTTCAGTTTTTCGGTGGATGGATAATCTTACATACATGTAGTCAAACTTCCTGAGGAATTCATCTCCTTGCTTATGATTGCAGGTTGTGTTGATGAGAATGGAAAGGAACGTCCAGAGGGTTCCACCTGGGCACCATCTGTGTGTAAAGTTTGTACCTGCCAGGTAAAGTATAAAGTGTAGAACATGTCGATGTATTGCCAGATGTAGAGGGGATGTATAGTCACACTCCTCTCTATACACCCAGATTTATGGCCCTTCCCTCTGATACTGCCTTGAAAGAAGTTTGTGATATTGCTAACTCAACCAATTACAGTTCATGTGACAAGAGCTTGAACTTTTATTAGCTTACAGTAAACCATGCTCCTTTGGTAAAAACCTATAAAATACAATAATGGTCCATCTTCGCAGGTAAGTTCAGAGTTAGAAAATGATATGATAAGTTACATCATGGTGTTGTTCTATATTGCAAGTATTGTTTCTTGCAGCAAGGCCTTCAGAACTGTGCTGATACAATCTGTACTGAACCAACATGTACCCACCCAATACAAGTGCCCGGCCAGTGCTGTAAATCATGTGATGGTGAGTCTCTCTCATAGTTACCCTCTAACATGTACCCACCCAATACAGATACCCAGCCATTGCTGTAAATCATGTGATGGTGAGTCTCTCTCATACTTACCCTCACACCTAACTTACACCCACCCCATGCTACTATGCAGTTTGTGGTGTATGTCTTGTGTTTGTAAGTCTATCCAGTATCTATTGCATGTTAATCCTCTATATTTTGGCTCACCTTCAAAGAAATAAAGCTACCTATTATCTGATTTTGATTGGTTGGAACAGGTGGTTGTGACTATAATGGCAGTATCTACTCCAATGGGGAGGTGTTTGAGGAGTCCCAGTGTAACACATGTCAGTGTAACTATGGTAGTGTGGAGTGTCGACGTAAGCCTTGTCAACTCACACCTGGATGTCGCAGCAGCACCCTCCTGCCAGGCGACTGTTGCCCAACCTGTATGGACTGTGGTAGTCATAGTAACGGCTCACGATGGCGGGAGCGTGATAGTCCATGTGTAGAACACACATGCTTGGTAAATTACCATTTATTACTTTAAATAAAACTTTAAATCTTACTTATTATAACTTTTAACTCAGTTAGGACTTCTTTCAGTTTCTTTTTAGCATCAAGTTCCTGAAGTTTGAAACCAAAATTTATGTACTGAGTAATGGTTAAAAGTAATTTGCAGGGCCCGCTTCGATATTTATCAGGTTGTTCATCTTTCTGTCTGTTTGTCCGTTTTTATGTTTCTGTGCAATACAGACTTTACTTAATGCTTCTTCAAAGGAAGTGCTTGTGTTAAAGTGATTTTTGGGGCATGGTCGATAAAGTGCAAAATGTACGACTATTGTGTCTACACAAGCAATAAACATTGCTACGATACTAATATTTAAAGCCAGAAACAGTACAGGGTCCTTCCTGATGTGTCTCAGTACTCTAGTTTTGTCATATGATAAAATGTGTTGTGATTGTTTCCTCTGTAGAATGGTGTAAGTAGTCAGAGGAGGATACAGTGTGGGGAGGCTAACTGTCGACATGCTTACACACCTGCTGGAGAGTGCTGTCCAGTCTGTGTTGGTAGGTATAGATTCATCACATACATGAATCTTTAACATCTTATTCCTTAGATTCAATATTAAAAATAAAGAATTGAAAAGCCAAATCTTTTTGAGTAAATAAGTTGATAACCGTAGCTTTATTTCTGCTCTGACTTGGTGTTGCAGCTTGTTTTTACCAGGGGAGGATAATCCAGGACGGAGAACTCTTCTCTCCTAATCTCTGTACATCTTGTCTGTGTAAACATGGTAATGTTGAGTGTATTGATGAGCAGTGTCCAAGACCCCAGTGCAGCATGCCTATTACTGCCCCAGGGGAGTGCTGTCCTACCATCTGCAACAGTGGTGAGTACTACGCAGGAAGCACACTGAATTACTGATATCTGAGGTTTTCAGGAAGTTTTGAATTGATGCTACTGTATAAAGGAAACTTTGACCTATTTCATCCATTTCCAAATCAAGTGAAATTAAAAGGTTAGGTGAAGTTTGACATTAAATCTACAAAATAGGCTTTCATGCATTTGAAGTGAATTTAACACAGTGTAAAAATGAACAGTTTCATGCAAGTGTGAAATAAACTCATGGTGAGATTTTCCCAAGACTTACTAGATTTTGTTCTTATTACAATTTTAAAGATGAAGCTTATATTGTGGCACTATCACACATTAAGTGTAGTACTATCACAGAATTGTTTCCTTTTACAGCCTGTGTCTATGATGATAAGCGGTACCAACATGGGGAGGTATTCAGTGCGTCTTACGACCCTTGTCTTAACTGTTCCTGTGATAACTCTATTGTTCGCTGTGTACCTACGCGCTGTGACACACAGACATTGCCATGTCAAAACCCAGTGAGGGTGGGATCAGGCTGCTGTGACCTTAGATGTCCAGGTATACTTGAACACGATCTATCTGTGAAATTCCAAGATCACTAATGTCATTACAATTATACAAAGCCTAAATCTCTGATGTTGCCAGAACTAATTCTATTGAAACAATATTATAAAACATATATATGTCTTGTCAACAAAACTTACAGAAACTGTTCTCTTTTCCAGAGTGTGTTGATGAGGGAAAGCGGTATGCGAACAGGGATGTATGGGTGTCTTCCTCTGATCCTTGTCGTGTCAACCAGTGTCGCGAGGGGCGCATCATCACACGGACACGACAGACATGTGACCGTACCTGTACCCATGGGACGATCCGTCGTAATGAGTGTTGCTCCAGCTGTACAGGTTAGACCTCCCTAGCTACCTCACACCTGGCTCCCATATTTTAATGCTAGTATCATCCAATTTGTAATAGTGTTTTATTTCTTGCAGCACAGTCTAGATCTAGACTGGAAGTAGTCACAGCACAGATTATACCCGCAAACCAAATTCATTACGATCCAATGAGCTAGAAAGTAGTGTGGAAGGAGCAAGTATAACCCCTTCACACCAACAAAAAATATATCCCAACACATGTAATACAGATTGTATGAACTCTATCTGGTATAGATAAAGTAATGTTAAATCTCATCAGATGCTGTAACAAGTTCACATAGAACTTGACAGAACATCTAATAATCTGTAGTTAAAGTGACTGCAATCATGGAAACTTGGATCTCCAGCTGGTCTATAGTATCTGTAGTACACCATAATTACTCACTACTGTTGTCAACGTAAATAGTGACTACAGAAACTTAATAAACCTTCAAACATGAACTTTGTGATCTTAAACCAAATACTGGGTATTCAGTTAGAAAGTATTTGTGACCAACGATAACTGGATGTTGTAGAATGTTTGTATGACGGAGAGACATACAGTGATGGTCAAAGCTTCATGATGCCTGGGGACAGTCTACAGAGATGTACATGTACTGCAGGAAATGTAAAGTGTAATCTGATTGGTCCGTGTCCACCACTCAGATGTAGTGTGACAGAGACCCCGCCAGGTGCTGTTTGTCCTATATGTAAAGGTAGGCTATGTATACTATATTGAATTATCTTTTTACTGTTGTGTAATGAATGGCTGGAGATGATCAATTTATTGAGCTGATGTAAATTGTAATCTTTCGTTTAAGGATGTTCCTACAATGGCCAAGTATACCAACACGGGGACACTGTCTCAGCTAGTAGATGTACCATTCTCAGATGTCAGGAGGGTAAGTACACTGATCAACTTTTTACAATCGAGAGTTGAGGTGGGTTAAATTTTTATTTACATATGGTCATGTCTTTAAGGATGAGGATTTTTAATCCTATATCTATAAAGAAACCAAATCTGTTTTTACAAATAGAGAGAGGAGGTGTGTTAAATTCTAAAACTGAAATATGGTAATTTATTTTAGGGTCAGGATGTTAAATCCATAACTATCAAGAAACCAAACTGTAGAAGAAAAAGGTTAACTAAAACATCCCACTTACACTATATCCTCTCACCTCCAGTCCTACCAGAATTTAAAATGCAAGTTAACTCTACTATAGACATGAATGTAAGTAACCTGTCCTTTTACGTAAACAGTCCTACAGTACATAACTTGTTATATTATCACATGACCATAACAGTGCCCTGTGAAGGGGCAAGCTTACTCTGCAAGTTTTTTTGTAGGTCAGGTGTTGTCTGACCGAGTGCAGTGTCCTGCCCCACCCTGTCTAAACCCTGTTGAGGTGGACGGTCAGTGTTGTCCAGTCTGTAAGGAGTGCTCCTTTGAGGGAAGGAATTACAGGGAAGGATTGACTTTCCCCAACCCCAGCAAACCATGTGAAACATGCCACTGTCAGGTAGGTGTGTAAAGATGTTATCAGAAACAAGACACTGTCAGGTAGATGTGTAAACATGTTATTAGAAACATGCCACTGTTAGGTAGTGTGTAAAGATGTTATCAGAAAAAATATGCCATTGTCAGGTAGGTGTGTAAAGATGTTATCAGGAACAAGACACTGTCGGGTAGTGTGTAAAGATGTTATCAGAAACAGGACACTGTCAGGTAGATGTGTAAAGATGTTATCAGAAACATGCCACTGTTAGGTAGGTGTGTAAAGATGTTATCAGAAACAAGACACTGTCAGGTAGTGTGTAAAGATATGTTATCAGAAAAAATATGCCACTGTCCGGTAGATGTGTAAAGATGTTATCAGAAACAAGACACTGTCAGGTAGTGTGTAAAGATGTTATCAGAAAAAATATGCCACTGTCAGGTAGATGCATAAAGAAAGATGTAAAAAATGTTTTCTTAAATTTGTTGAAAATCAATTGGGTTTTAAGTTTAGAAAATCATTTGAAATGAAGGGTATACCTGCTTTTGAGATATACATTATTTGTATGTATGATATACAAAATATACCTGTAGGATAATTACCTGTACCTACAGGTTAGATTTGTACACACCTGTACTGTATGATATACAAAATATACCTGTAGGATAATTACCTGTACCTATAGGTAAGATTTGTACACACCTGTACTGTATATGATATATAAATTGTACCTGTAAGATAATTACCTGTACCTGTTAGATTTGTACTCACCTGTACTGTATATGATATATGAATTGTACCTGTAAGATAATTACCTGTACCTGTTAGATTTGTACTCACCTGTACTGTATATGATATATAAATTGTACCTTTAAGATAATTACTGTTACTTATAAGATAGATTTGTTATGTATTTACCAAGTCTGGTATATCATACCAGCTGGTATGGATTATTTGATATATTTTATCATTAATGAGTCAATGTATTACAGAGGGGTGAGGTTAGATGTAGGAAGACCTCAGTAGATACCTGTCCTCCAGTCAACTGTCGCTATCCTGAGACCCGTCCAGGTGATTGTTGTCCATCCTGTGGAGGCTGTCAATATCTCAACAGGCACTTCCAGAATGGTCAGAAATTTGTGCCACCAGGTGGAGATGCATGCAGGGTGTGCGTGTGCGAGGTAGGTTTTACTGTATTACAGCTGACACTGACACACGTTGATCAAGGTCAAGGCTGTTAAAATCATTACAATAACTCCAGCTGTAGTAGCTGTCTTAAATTAAAGCCATGCACAAAATCAATAAGAATAACACATGTTTATAGACTAATCCAACACTGCAAAATGATGCCATAGAAAGAGTTGTGTATGTTATATAACAGGAAAAGTGATTGTTGACTATAGTGTGATAATGGTGTACAGTCAGGTGCTGTCAACTGTACCCGAATGGAGTGTAGCCCAGTGAACTGTCCTAACCCAGTCCGCCCCGCAGGTCGCTGCTGCCCTGTGTGTCCAATCAACTGTAATGTCCTTGGCACCAGATACAAAGAAGGACAGTCTTTTGGGGATACAATGGATCCTTGTACTAGGTGTACCTGCTGGGTAAGTATACAATGTGATTCTGACCCTCCAACAACAGCATGTTTATAGTAGAGAGAAATGTCCATCTCGTCGCTGCCCAGTAATATCAGAGTGTATGTTTGTGTAACAGGGAGGGAGAATCACATGTCAGTCCCATGCGTGCCCTAGCACCGGCTGCACAAACCCTGCACGGCGTCCTGGCCAGTGCTGCCCTTCTTGCAGTAACTGTGAATACAACAATCGCCTACTCAGGAATGGTCAAGTGTATGTGGACCCTACACAGCCCTGCAAGGAGTGTCGTTGCACAGTAAGTTTTTTAAATAGTTGTCTCCCCTTTTTCTGTACAATATCAGATTATCTTATTTGGCTCAACATTGCACATAGCCAAGTTTGTTGTTAATATTTGATATTGTGCTTCCTAGTTGTAACTGACATAAATGTTATTGTTACCAGTATGTCTCCAATAAATTGTGCTGTCAGGAGAGGTTGAGGCCAAAAAAAAATTATCATGATAGTATTGCGGTAGTAAAATTACAATTGTGATAGTATCACAATAGTTTTTTGAACTTTGAAGTATGTTATTTTCACCCAGAAAAATGAATCAAAATGCGAAAATTCAGCAAATATTACGAAGTATTTGGTTTTGACAATTATTTTGACACACTTCATAGATGGTTGGCAAAGCCTTGTCAGAATGAATATCTAGATGTAGTAAAGGTAGGATAACAGCTGTTTATCATATGCATATATGCCTGTTTTCAAAAATGGGGAGTTAAATTGTGGTAAGTTTTGAGGCTCATTGATGTTTTACGTAATCAAAATGCTGCCTTACCATTGCTTTTGTCTTTTAGGCACAATTTTAAAGATACTGCTTACCTTATTGTTTAGGAAATTGTGTCGAGTTAAGGAATGGTCTAAAACACGGACCCTAGGTTGAAGCAGTCACCACCTCCCTTATTATACTTTGTAGGTTTAATCAGATCTTGTTGGAAACAATAACAATATAACATTTGTTTAAGATATAAACTCTCTTCGGTGTAACAAATTATGCTTAAATTTCTATTTCCATTCTAAGTACTGTGGTAGGTGTTTTGTGCTGTTGTTGTGTTTAGTATCATCCCTAATCGGGGTCCCAAAGAGGCTTTCACATTTTTGCAATAACTTGGTGAAAAATCTTGCTTTAATGTAGCATTATCTAAAATCAAACAACTAGCATTTGGGATAAATAGTTGAATGAATTGATAGTTATTGACATTGACTTGAAATATGCTATTGAGAGCAAAGCTATTACAATACATCAATGCGTTGACCTATCATTACACCAAAAATAAATTCTGTCACCCATGATATACCATGCATAATTATCTGAGAAGGATTGGTCCGCCATTAATATCAAGAATTTACTGTCACAAGGATGGATCCATCACTAATATGACTGTGTCGTGCCCTCCACTGAACTGTGAACGATCCATTAATCTGCCTGGGCGGTGCTGTCCTGTCTGTGAGGATGATGTGCCTGGTCCAACATTAGACCTGACTTGTCAAATGGGCAATGTAACATACCGAGAGGGGGCCACCATGCCCCATCCCTCAGACAAGTGCCAACAATGTGTTTGTAGGCAGGGACAAATAGACAACTGTCGACAGAAGTTGTGTGCCCAGACTCGATGTAACAGTCCAGTGTTTACACAAGAGGAATGTTGTCCACAATGTACAGGTAACAATATTTATATAGCAGGAGTGTTGTCCACAATGTACAGGTAACAATATTTATATAGCAAGAGTGTAGACCACAATGTACAGGTAACAATATTATATAGGAGTGTTGTCCACAATGTACAGGTAACAATATTATATAGCAAGAGTGTTGTCCACAATGTACAGGTAACAATATTTATATAGCAAGAGTGTTGTCCACAATGTACAGGTAACAATATTAATATAGCAAGAGTGTTGTCCACAATGTACAGGTAACAATATTATATAGCAAGAGTGTAGACCACAATGTACAGGTAACAATATTTATATAGCAGTAGTGTTGTCCACAATGTACAGATAACAATATTTATATAGCAGGAGCATGTCCACAATGTACAGGTAACAATATTATATAGGAGTGTTGTCCACAATGTACAGGTAAAAATATTTATATAACAGGAGTGTTGTCCACAATGTACAGGTAACAATATTTTGATAGCAAGAGTGTTGTCCACAATGTACAGGTAATAATATTATGTAGGAGTGTTGTCCACAATGTACAGGTAACAATATTTACATAGCAGAAATGTGACAACAATGTACAGGTAACTTTTTGCATAGGTGGAATGTCAGCCTCAATGTTTATGAGATGGAATTTTTCTTTTGTTTGGACAAGTCCCTTGCCTAATGTAAGTGAATAAATTAAGAAAGTAAGAAATTTGTTTGTTACAGATTGTAACTTTGAGGGATTGATCCACAAAAGTGGCAGTAGATTTACACACCCAGTGAGGCGTGACCAGACGTGTTCCTGTATCCAAGGAAATGTGATGTGTGAGTGTAATCAGTGTCAGCCTCTCACCTGTCGTAACCCTGCTCCTGCAAACAGTACCTCCTGCTGCCCCACCTGTCACAACTGTCTTTATGGAAACCAGGTCCGCAACAACGGTACACGGTTTCCATGTGGGGAAACCTGTACTACCTGTACATGTGTTAATGGCAATGTCAAGTCCACACCTGAGTCCTGCTCACCAGTCAACTGTCAACATCCTGTCACAGACGGATGCTGTCAGAACTGTGAGCAGTGCTTCTACCAGGGCCGTACTTACAGTGATGGTCAACGCTTCTCTGATCCTCGCAATGACTGTAACCTGTGTGTGTGTGACAGGGGCACTGTCACCTGCCAGGCAAAATCTTGCCCTGCCCCAACCTGTAGTTATCCATCTAATGGCCTATGCTGTCCGGAGTGTGGTAATTGTATGTACCCAAACTCGGCTGGTCGACTCATAAGAAATGGTCACCGTGTCCCCAGTGAACAGGATGTGTGTACGGAGCATTTATGTAGAAATGGCGAAATTTCTAATCTAACTAAGCGTTGTGTTGGTGTGTCGTGCCAGAACCCAGTTACCCGTGACTGCTGCCAAGAGTGTACAGGCTGTCTTTACCGGGGGTTAGAGAGGAGAAATGGTGAGTATTTTAAAAACCCTGATGATGGCTGTAGTACCTGTCAGTGTGTGGATGGTAATGTAAGGTGTAGTCGTCAACCATGTAACCCTGTAGACTGTAATTGTCCTGCTGTCAAAGGATGCTGTCCAGTTTGTGGAGACTGTTTCTACCGTAACAAGTTCTACGCCGATGGACAGAACTTCACCGACCCTAACGAGACCTGTGTGAAATGCGAATGTCAGCAGGGTAATGTAAGATGTGCTCGTGTTTCTTGTCCACTGCTGCGCTGCCCAGAAAATGTCCAGTTCTATGGACGTGACAAATGCTGTAAACAGTGTCCCTCACCCGACCGCTTGGTTGACTGTACATATGAAAAAGACCAGCTTTTCACACCTGGTCAGTCATTCCCCTGTGGATGTGACACCTGTACCTGTAAACGGGACGGCACCATTGGCCGTCAACGGGTAGACTGTCCACCTGCATTTTGTCAGAATCCACGAACCAGTGATGTGTGCTGCCCAACTTGTGAGTACTGTGAGTTGAGACAGTCGACGGATTCCCAAAGGACACTCCTGCTGACCAATGGTCAGCGACGGGAAGACCCAAGGGACAGCTGTACCACGATGATATGTCAGGTGAGGGTGGTGATTGGGTATATTAAACATATAGAATGACATACTTTTACATACATAAGTAAACATGATGACCACTGTTAATGATAACCATGTTGTTCATGCATGCTTTTGTTTTCACTTACCTTGACCCAGGAAATTCACCATAGTACTCATCATCAAAACAAATCCATTTATGGCCATTTTTTTTTATACATTTCTAAATTAAGTGGAGTTGAATTTTACTTTGTATTGATTCGAAAATTCATAAATCTTATTTTACCATATAATTTTATTGTACTGTGGTATCCTTTATCTGTCTGTTGTCTATCCGCTGTCCATCATCCAACAATTTCTTTATAAAACCACTAGGCATGAGCAATTGACTGGATTTTGACCAAATTTGGTCAGAAGCATACTTGAGCAATGTTAAATTTAATGTAGAGGGTGGATCTTGACCCCAAATAGGGAAAATATAGCAAGTTCTTTAAAATCCCTCTTTTTCTGTAGGAATGTCAGGATTCTGTCCCAATTTGGTGTGCTGTATCCTATGATAAAGGGGAATCAATTTTGTATAAGCCTTGGATCTCGGAGGGGATGAGAGAAAATTGAGCAAACTTTTAAAATCCTTCTTTTTGTATAAATAGTTTTGCTTACCCCCTCAGGCAGAAGGGTGGGGACCAATAGGGAAATAGGTATAAACCATTGAAATTTGTTTTCCTTTAGTTTGGGTTTATAAAGAAATTCTATTCAAATAAAACCTACGGGCTCTTGTTGATGTTAATGATACAGTTTGGTAGTTGTTTTGTTCATTAGAATGGAAACATCGTCAGAGTGTCCCGATCTTGTGACGTGCAGTGCACCCATGCTGTTCCACCATCTCTGGGCAAGTGTTGTCCAGAATGTACCGATTGTTTTTACCGTGACAGTACTGGAGCGGAGCAGATCATACGACACACAGACACTTTCTCTGACCCTAGCTACCCCTGTAGAGATTTTCACTGCTTGGTAAGTAATATTTTTGAGACTGTGTCAGTGGTTGTCAGTCCATTTTTCATCTGTAAGCAATCTTTATTGTTGCTGTTCTTGAGAAGAACTTCAAGGATGCTAATTACTGTATATGTAAACTTCATATGTAGGACCCTCCTTGTCATCCAGTTTCGAGGTCTTGTCAGGGAAAAAGTGGCCAACAGATTGATTTTAATATGTAAAATTTGTCATGGCTACTTCCTTTTGAAACTTGAAATATTGGTTGCCCTTTCTACAGGTGAAATTTGTTGTTACTCTTTCTTAGAAAGTTTGGAACAGTTCTCCTTCAGTCCCTAGTTGTGCATGCTCAATTTTGAGACAGATCAGGAATCTTTTCTGGAGTTACTGGAAGGGTTTATCTCAAACTTTATGTTCCCCTTGGTCCCTAGTTCAGGCCAAAGCAATTTTGAATCTGATCAAGCAAACAAAATGACCAACAGGTAGCCATCTTGGATTCTGACTGCTGAAGTTGTGCCCATATAATTTTGATAAGAAAAACAGAATGGCTGAGGGTGATGAAGACGGTCATCACTATTTTTTTTTGAGATGTTTCAGATTTGATGTGTAGGATCCCTTTTAATTTTATGTCAGTTTAAACAGAATGGCTGACTGGAGACCATTTTGGATTTATTATTATTATATTATTGCTATTTCTCAGAAAGTTATATTGTTAATAATTGATTAAGAAAATGAGAAGGAAGGGAAAGTAGAGAAAAGATTAATCTTGCAGAGAGCCAATAAAGTTAAGATGAGTGCTAACGTCACTCTGTGATCTTTTCATCAGTTTTTATATCTAATCAGTCTTTTTTAGAAACATTCTCTTACTAAATCACTGATTTTATTTGTAGTGAAAACAAGCTTGCCATTAATCTCTTTGGTCAGATATATCACAGGAATGTATTCAATGTCTATGTAATATATTTGTGTGTTAACTCTTTGGACTCTTTGCTATGTGAAGTTGATATCAGACTCTCACCTAATATAAATTAAATTTGGTTCTGATGTGATGAAACTCACCACAGAACCCAGTGTATAACTTTGGTTCTGATGTGATGAAACTCACTACAGAACCCAGTATATAAATTTGACGTGACACTAGTGACTTGAGGTTTTTTAATGTAAAACCAATTTTCATGATGTAATACTTACCATAACTTTAGTATGCAAATACAGTACCTACACCCATCTTTGTATCCCAACAACAAAAGATTCAAAAGAAAAACAATCCCGCCCTCCCTACGATCCATGAGCCATCACGACAGGAACGCAGAGTGATCTCCCTTCCTCTAATAACCTTTATGGCGTAAACCCCACAGAGGGGCAGCCAGGCAGATAAGGAAGAGGGGAGGATAGGGTGGGACTCCATAAAGTTATGGTAAGTATTACATCATGAAAATTGGTTTTACATTAAAAAACCTCAATTTCATTTCAGTAATAATTACCATAACTTTAGTATGCGAATTCGTCTTACCGTAGTGGTGACTAGAAGCCAGGCAGCCCCTTCAGCACAACCAAAGTAGTAGGGAGGGAGAACAGAGTGCTAAAGTGAAGGAAGGGACCTCTCTGTGAAAGAGCAGGTGTACCCACATGCCGCCGTACGGAAAGACATGGCCCGGGGCTAACGAGGAGGCCCAGCCACTGACTATGCCACCACCAAAGGTCCCAATGATACAGGCCTTCTGAGTGGGAAGCTAGGGATCACAGATAAAAATCTGTTAAGGTATCCCTGCCCTGCCAGAATACTGCAGACATGACCTCCTGAAAGGAGGACTCATTGAGAGAAGGGCCCAGGATGAAGCAAGGGCCCTGACCTCGTGAGACCGCGCTTTCACTCTCGCCCGAGCCAGATCATCAAAATGCTCGTAAGCATACTAAATCACCTGGCAAACCCACCTGGAAACCGACTGGGAGGAGATATCTCGTTGCCCCTGTTTAATGGGCAAAACAGACGGGATCGAGAGCCCCGCCCCCCCCTGGTTTTATCAAGATAAAACCTAAGAGCCCGACAAGGACAAAGCAACCTATCTCGCTCCTCCGAGCTAGTCACAGCCAGGATCCTGATGGGATCGTGCGAGAACCCCGGAACCTGATTCTTCGCTAAAAACAACTCTATTCATAGCAAAGCCTCTGATTAGGGCAGAAAGAGAGGAGGACTAACCGATCTCCTTCCTGCCATAACAAGCAAGAACTCTGGCAATAGCTGTACGATAGCCAGCAATAGTGCCAGGTGGCAGATAGCGGTACCTAAACAGAGAGATTAGGAATTCCGCAATCAAATGCAGAGGCTTCGAATGAATAAGCTTCCTTGCCGACACACCAATCACAGAAGATCATCCAACGTGACTGGTAGACGGCAGAAGAGGAAGCCCTGATTGATTGCTCAATGCAATCGGACACCTCTTGAGAAAAGCCTGCCTTGGCGTGGCTTCCAGAGATAGCCTCAGCGCGTGAAGGTGGAGGATCTCTGGTCAAGAGTGTGTCGTTCTGGGCCAAGGCTGGCGAAGGAGATTCGGTCTGGTGGGGAGAGCCAAGGGCTCCTCCACCAGAAACGACAAGAGCTCCTGAAACCAAGCTTGCCTCGGCCACAGAGGGGCTCTCAGAAGTAAGGAGCAGTGATGCTCCCAGAACTTCTGTAGAACCCTGCCCACCAGGTTGAAGGGAGGGAATGCATATGCATACGTCCCTTCCTATTCCAGAGAAAGGGCGTCCACAGCCCACGCCTTACGGTCTGGGACCGGGGAGACGAAGGTTAGCAGCTGGTTGTTCAGGGAAGTGGCAAACAGGTCTATAATAGGTCTGTCCCACGCCTGACAATTCCCCTTGAAAATCAAGGGACACAGCTGCCATTCCGTCAACACCGGCTGGTGGCGCCTGGAGAGTGGCCACCAACACACTCAGCCTGCCAGAAAGATGCTTGACCGCTATGGTCAACTGCATGTCCTGGCAGAGAAGATGGATGTGGATGGAGAGGGCACACAGGACATGAGACCTGGTGGCCCCTGTCTCTCCAGATACGCGACAACTGTTGTCGGTAGCCACACTTTGGACTGCAGGATACCCCTAAAGGACTGCAGAGCCAAATGAACAGTGTCATCTCGAGTACACTGATGTGCTCCGAGAGTTATTCGCCAGACCACTCCCCCATCGAGGTAAGCTCACATTCCTGTCATGAACGCGTCCATGAACAGGATCATAGAGGGGATAGGCTTGGTCAGAGGTACCCCGTGGAAAACGTTCTCCTGAATGGTCCACCAGCAAGAGAACTCCCTGACCGACTGGGTAAGCGGGATCCAGGCCTCCTGGATGACGGAACCCAGTCAGACAGGAGGAACATCTGGAGAGGTCCGATGTGAATCCTCCCTAGGGGGACCACATATGCCAAGGAGTTGAGATACCCCAGAAAACTGAGGAACCAATGTACCTGGACAAGTGACCAAGTGATGAAAGTCAGAGCCAGAGCCCTGACCTTCTCAAACTTCTCCAGAGGTGGAAGGGCTAAGCCCCGAACCATGTCAAAATGGTTCCCCAGGAAGAAGAAGTCCTAATATGAAGGAACCTCTGACTTCTCTCTGGAAGGAATGAAGCCGACTCTGAGCAAGAGTTTCAGGACCAGACGAGTGTCCTTCACTAACGATTCCCACACCAAAAGAGGCATGAGGGAGTCGTCGAAATAGATGTGGACGTCTATTCTGCAGGAGTGAAGGAAACACCAGCAGCAACTTGGTGAACACCAAAGGAGCTGTCGTGAGCCCCAAGGGCATCTCTGCCTTGGCAGCATGGTCCCTACTTCCTCCTGGAGCACCCGTGCCCTTTCTGAATCCCCGGGAGGAGGAAAGAAACAAAAACGGCCAGGAGGTGAGGGACGAATCCTGAAGAAGGGGAATACCTAGACCCTCCCTGACCACCGACAAAAGCCCAAGCGTCCTCTGTAATATCCTGCCACTAGGAAAGGAAAGCAGAGAGACGTCCGCCCACAGGGAGTTCCGGATGGGGCAGATCGAGCCCCTGCCAGACCAGAGAATCGTCTGCCCACCCGGAGCCTGAGCCTGCAGGAGAAGGACATGAGCCCGGGAAAGGAGAACCACCGTCCACCCGGCCATACCCTTCGCCTTTCGCGGCCAAGAAGCAGAAATAGTCAGGAACCCTTCTTCTTGCCCCCAGGAGGTTTCTTACCCTTCCTACCCTTCCCCTTGTTGCCGTTGAAGTGAGGTTGGGACTTGGGCTGTGCAGAAAACTGAGCAGCCGAAGACTTCGCCTTCTTCTTAGGAGGCACTGACCCCTGCGAGGCACTGGCCTTCTCAGCCTGAAACCTCTTCACCAGAAGTGCTGAGGCGACCGAGTCCTCCTTCATATCCTTCTGAACCCAAGGAAGAGCTCCCCTGAACAGGGTAGAGCCCTAGAAGGGGGCATTCAACAAGCGGAAACGGTAGGGTTACTGGACTGGGCGGAATTTCAGAACTGAAAACTGCCTAGCCAACACGGCATTGACGAGCAGAGAACCTGCAAGGCTGCCGTGTCCTGTATGTCGGCTGTTCTGTCTCGGATAACCGACACTCAGGCAAATCGGATACCCTGTATAGACAAACTGTCAGGAAGTCTATGTATGACAGAACTTGGATGGAGAGGTGCAACATTCTCTCCATCCTGTGGTGCTCTTTGGGATCGAGCACCACCTGGTCCACTGATTTGCCGGGCCAGGCAGCCAGCTGTCTCAACTCCAGCTGTGCTGGTTGAGAGGCCAGCTGCCCATCATGTGTGGCATAGTCGGAAGCTGAAGCCTCCGACAATTCACCAACACTGAGCTGCAGACCGACAAACCCGAGAGCACGGGTAGAGAAGGAGTCCTTCTCTAAAACCGGAGCCCGGGCCGTGGCCAGAACCGAAGACATGATATTGCCTTCTGGCAGAGACCGATCTGAGCGAACGGAAGCCCGAGGAGCCACCAGGGAACCCAGAAGGATGGTGGATTCAGGCGCCGA